TCTAGCTGCACGAATATACCTCTGCATAAAGGGGTTGATTGCGTGGTAAAAGTTCACAATGAATTATTCCTCGAATATTCCACCAAACAGTCAATAGGACCTCATAAGAAGGCAATCTTGCACTTGACATCGACGTTGGCGTTTCATTCTTATTGCAACCGGTCCTCCGGAGGTTAACATTTTTGTAAAGAACACACTTCTCATTTGCAGTGACAAAATAAAAAATAAACCCTTCCAATTTATTCCTAGTCATTGTCAGATGAAACTCAACAAGCCTTGCAGTCTTCCTTGTTCCTGTGTTTCATAACGTAACCTAGAGATCGGCTTCTTCTTTTTATTGTTGTGCGATTTACCTCTCTCTGATAGCACTGCTAGAGTACTTAAGTGTGTACTTCCTCCAATGCCAATAAGTCGCAGCTTTTAAGCTGGTTAGGCGTTCCGCAACGAAGCTGGTTTTTGATCCGTCTCTCCATTACGGAAACGTCTGAACCCCGCACAGATTTCGACAGGCATCCGCCACTCCATGCCCGAGATAGTTAGCAAGCAATGCCCCACATGAAACTAAATTTTGGGATCCAAAACCCCTTTCTTAACAATCACTTCCAATAGGGCTTTTGCCATCCTAGAGCTAACGGGGTTAGTGGATCACCTAAGGATGACAGTTGAAAAACCTACGCACACTTCTAATAGATTGTGAAAAGAAGGTCGATAAGGGAAATGACCATACTTACCAAGTCATACTAGATTGACACATAAGAAATTGTTGCGGGAAAGAGGCCGCGTTGATGCCCATTATTTGCCGAAATATTAAGCGTTGACCATATTTTATAATGCATAAAGATGTCTGCAAGATAAGTTACGGAGATCCTGCTGACCGATGCTTTGCATTACGGCATGGCACCATAGTAGCAGTATAGTATGTGTCTTTATTGTGTTTTGTATATTGCTTGAATGTAAATTATTAGCGTGAATGCGTTAAGTACGTTCGAGGGGTTAAGAAAACAGGGGACAAAATATGAGAAAGTCAGTGGAAAACATGCTCGAAAAAAAATCACCGGCGATGATGTTTGTCGGCCGATAAATAATATGGTTTGGCAAGAGAGTAATATCATTTTTCAATTATAGGATTAATTAGCTCAATATTTACATTTGTGTGTCTATATTATTTTGGTTTACAAATAAGCTTGTTTAATCCCTAAATTAAAAGCTTTATTTCTACTTCTTTAGTTGCGTCGAATACTAGGCAATCACGTCTTTGGATGAAAATTTGTGCGCAGTGTTTGGCACTAATGCTGTAAAAGTCCGTAAAATCCAACGGTGGTTTGGTCGATTTAGAGAAGGAAATTTTGTTCTTGAAGATGATGCGAGCAGTGGACATTCTTCTGGGTTGACGACGACATATTGATGCATAGAAGAATCCCTTTTTGATCCGAGGTCTAGGAAAGATTTTAAATGCTTCTCGTACAACCATTTGAAACCACATCCAAATACGTGGGTTTGTTCAAAAGTCATGGATCCCACACGAACTCAGCGAAAGGAATTTGGCGGGTCGCACCTATATTTACTCTTCGCTCCTCGGTCGTAACTCTTACGACCAATTTGTTCGTGGACTGGCAACAGGTGATGAAAAATGGAAATAAAAACATAACCGAAAGAAAAGCTTACTGTCAACCCGGTCAACGTCCATCGGTCAAAACAACAAATGCACGAATAAAACGTAGCAGGTCCGGCCCATTGCAGCTTTTTGAGCTTTTTCCACAATGCAAACGGTTAATAGTGAACGGTAGTGTGAGTCAGCTAACCAGTTTAGGCCTTAAATAAAGCAAAAACGACGTGCACTAGAAAACAGAAAAGGTGTAGTCTTTCATCATGACAACGCCCGCCCCCACATTGCCTTGAGGACCAAACAATTATTAACAAATTTGAATTGGGAAATTTTATCACACCCGCCATACTTTCCGGACATTTCATTTTGTGATTCTATTTATTTCAAGTCAGCGGTTCAAACATTCTGGGCTCAAAAGGAGGGCATTTTTATGTGAAAGGACATAGACATGTTACCTGAAATATGGCAAAAAGTAATTGCAAACAATGGACATTATACCTTCAAATAATTAAAAGCATGCTAGGCATAAAAACTGAGTATAATATACTTCAAAAAAAGTCATTTTTTTGCCAGCTAATACGTAATACTTTGCACACACCCAATAAAATATGGAAAGAACGATTAGGACCAGGCATGAACAGTAAATTAAACATAAAATTAGTAAGTAATTAAGTCCTCACTTTTCTTCATAACCTTATGTAAATAAAGATGAAGCGTTTATTTGCTCAATTACGTCAATGAGAGACGATTAATCACAGAAGTCAGCCACAACTGGAGGAAGGTCAAAAACAGGATGGCAAAAACAATTAATCAAAACAAAAGATGGAGGCGACAGTGGAAACGTTGGCTATTGATCTTAAGAAAATATATGAAAACAGTTCTTTATTTTTTAATTATTATTAATCACGGTCACTAATCACTATACATTTATTTTTTAAGCTGTCCTTTCATTTTTGGAAAGTCGTGATTTACTTGTACACGTTTTAGTAGTCAATTGACCAAGTTAATTCTTTCAATTATTATTTCTATGTAAGGTCTTGGTTGAGATAAAAGTTCAGTGTCACGAGCGGGATTCGAACCCACGATTTTCGGCTTGATACGCTGCTGCTCTACTACTTGAGCTATCGTGACTTCGATCCTCTCGGACACTAACTCTCCATTTCAACCTATAACGGATCGAATTTTTCTTTTTTTTGCCACTTTCAAATGTCGTGTAATCAGGATTGGATTCTCAGCGACATATGAAGTCGCCCGGGGAGCTGTTTAGTGAAGTGATACTTCTTTTACTTATTAAATATTAATCCATTTTACGTTTTAGTATTCAATTAACCATGTTAATTCGTTCTATGTAAGGTCTTGGTTGAGATACGCGACATTTGAAAATGGCAAAAAAAGAGGGAAAAATTCGAACAGTTGCAGGTTGGGATGGAGAGCTAGTGTCGTCTGAGTCGAAGTCGCGACAGCTCAAGTGGAAGAGCAGCGGCGTATCTAGCGGAAGGTCGTGGGTTCGAATCCCGCTTGTGACTCCGACTTTTTTATCTCAACCAAAACCTTAATTAGCTGATATTAGTGTTAGTGCTGCGACCGCTTGAAAAAAAAGTACTGTGATTATATTTTTAATATGCAAAATATGTGTAGGCTAAATAAAATTTTAAAAAGACACTTATTTTGCCTAATGGCAGTTAGGCGTTTAAAAAATTCTTACAAAACCGCCAAAAATTCAAACTATATCTTTAATTTTGATGAAGGCAAGTTTTCGTATTTATAATCCTCTATGAGAAAGAAGACAAAAAAAAATTTATTAACCTAATTCATAGATGCTTAAAGTAAGTAATTTTCCGTGTCACTATTACTGAATTGGTGTATTGTTGAGAAGTACACCATTAATTTTACACCAGCAACGACGAGCATGATTTTTTAATGATAATTTTCTTTAAAAATCATTAATGATTAGATGTGGTGTTTAGTGACCGTTAGCCAATGATTATTTGGAGATCGAGAGGTGCGGTCTGGTGTGATATAGGTTTTAGAAAAACGTTTTCTTTATCGTGCCAACGTTTCGATCTTCATTGAGATCATCTTCAGGGCCTGGGATTTATATACATTGCTTAAAAGTTTAAATGTTACACATACACGTAGGATGTGAAAAAAATGAATTTATACAATGCTAGAAAATTGTAGATTAAAAAATGAATTTATACAACGCTAGAAAATTTTAGATTAAAAAAATGAATTTATACAATGCTAGAAAATTTTAGATTCTATCAAAGTATTTGTACCCACTGAAAGTGTTTGTTTTCCGTGTAGATGTGTCATTCTTGTCTGTAGTGTTGAGACTGCCAATGAGATATCGCTGTTTTAAGTATATATACGTTTGATTCTGAAGGGGTGGGGAAGGAAGTTGATATAGAAAGACATTTTCATATGAGGAGTAGGCTTCTTTGAGGTGAATTCATTTTTTTTTAATCTAAAATTTTCTAGCATTGTATAAATTCATTTTTTTCACATCCTTCGTGTATTTGTAAAATTTAAACAATGTTTATAAATCCCAGGCCCTGAAGATGATATAAATAAAGATCGAAACGTTGGCACGATAAAGAAAATGTTTTTCTAAAACCTAAAAAGTGACGAATAAGTGTAAGTGTTAATCTAATTATCAGTGAGTGATAAATTAGATTTAATTGTATATTGTATATATAGTATTAGCATATTGTAGTTTATTGTATACAGGGTGAATTGCTACTCGTGCTACAAACTTCTCCAGTAGATTCTTCACCCTAAAATGAACAAAAAAGTTCATATTGTCCATGGTCCGATTCTCAACCATTTCAGAGTAATTTCGCTTTTTATCGATTTTGAAAGATATCACGTCCTGGCGTCGGAAAATCGTGATATCTTTTAATCTAAACATTTCTCTTAAAATCTATAAGCACCGTTGAAATCCCCGTTAATTTTTCAATAAGAAGATGAAGGTGGCAAAACGTTTGGGTCTTTCTTCCTTGACCAGACAGAGCTTTACAGAGCTAGAAAGCTGTTTGTAAACTTCTTAAGCATTACATACTAAATGGGCATTAAATTAAATTAAAAAATTTCAATGGAATTATGATTTTGATTCTCTCTAAAAATTAAACGGGGATTTCAACGGCGCCAGCTCTTGATGTCCCTGCCCCTCCTGGCGTATCGCTCTCTGTTTACTTCTCTCATCGATTAATTCATCATCAAGGCAGTTTTGACCCATCGTGGTTGTATGCCTTTAAAAAAAAAAAAAATAAATAAAATAAATAAATAAAAAAACCTACGTCACACCAGATCCAAATAAACATTAATGATTAAATATTTTTTGCTTTTGCTCAATAAAAAAATGAATTAATTTTTTTTTTCTTTTTGTTCGCAGGTATGCTTCATCAGGTTGACTACTGTTGATTACCAGTTACCAAACGAAAGTAAATAAAACCTCATCCAAGGGAAAATTCCTGTTTTGAACGTTCAATTATCCAGATCGTAGATGATCTGGGTCACCGATTGTCCTCACATTGTAAAGACGAAACGGCCCGAGGTAGAGCGAAAATCGCCCTGTAAACACGTGCATGTCGGGTCGAAATATCTCTCGGCATGGGGGAAAGAATGAGACGGGAAAGAGGGACACTTATCTGCGTGAACATTCCGACATGTTGACACACAGCGAGACAATAACTCGCGCCCCATGTTCTGTTCCATTCATACCTCATTCGTTTACCAGGATGAGACAGGTAAGTGTTATTTATTTTTTGATAAACTCGGTTCAACATAAAGTCGTAAGGTAGAAAACATATGTATTTTTTTATGCTATTGGGTTTCCTCTTACAAATTATGTGTAAAATTAGTGGATACGTGGTCGTTTAAAGAGTGTGGCTATTTAACAAATAATAAATCAATCTATTTATTAATTTAAAAACCATTAAACCTCAATATTTTCTTTAAACAGGTATAGGTAAAAGTCCCGGGTACGGACCCAGATGCCCTGCATTCGAACTCGACATACAAATGGGCTTTGTTTTTTTCAAAAACACCGCGAGAGTTGATGTAGCCTCTGCTGTTGCCAGCCCTCTTAAAAAAATAATAATAATAAAAATAAACTTTCAATTAATTAAGGTTTTTAGTTGAGATAAAAAAGTCAATATCACGAGCGGGATTCAACCCACGACCTTCGGCTAGATACGCCGCTGCTCTACCACTTGAGCTAGCGTGACCTCGATCCACTCGGACACTAACTTCCCATCTCAACCCCACCTTTTGAATTTGAATTGAAAAATGGCAAAAAGGAGGGAAAATTCAAAAGGTGCGGTTGAGATAGGAAATTGGTGCCCGAATGGATCGAAGTCACGATAGCTCAAGTGGTAGAGTAACGGCGTATCTAGCCGAAGGTCGTGGGTTCGAATCCCGCTCGTGACATTGACTTTTTTTATCTCAACTAAAAACCTTAATTAATTGAAAGACATTAATTGGTCAAGCGGACCACGAAAACTAGTGAATTTAATAAAAATAAAAATATTCATGCGTCAGTCCTAACTCAATTTCAATATTTATTACTAATAATATTTTCTTCACTTTCCTGTTTAGATCAGACTTCCTCAAAAATGTGGGCATCATTCTGTTTTAGATCGGCTTAACTGCCATTTCAAAAATTAAAAAGATTTATTTATTTGAAGAGTATGCCTTTTTTTAAATTTTTATCTCGCCAAAGGTTTATACGTTCCCAATCGACTTCCATCATATCAAACCATCACCAAACACTAAACAAGTACAGAAAATTTCATTAAATTTGATCAAGTGGTTTTGAAGATAATCGTACCGAAAAGAGGCCAATTATCCCATTTGATAAGGTCGAGGTAGTGACGCCCGAAGCCAATCCGCTGTTGTAAATTATTAAAAGAAAAATTGAGAATTTGTAAATTAACAACTAAAATTAATTTTTACTATGTGCTAAAACCATAAAGCGGCATCGGGTATAAAAATCTAAACAGTACCACATATGAATTTGTTGACTAGATTTAAATTGAAATGACCAATTTTTTTTAAGTTACACAGCAAGCCAAAAGCTTGAAGATCATCGTTCGTTAAATATTTATATTTCATATATGTCAACTGCGCAGCGATATCGTAAGAAGTTAAATAAAAAACCCATGAAAAGGGAAAATAGTTGAGGGCTGAGATTTTCTCCTTGCAAGGCACCCTTGGAAAGCCTTTTTATTTTTGCTTTAAAATATTGTTAAATGTGAACTTCAACTTTACAATACATGCCTAATGTAAATTCGGAAAATGACACCTCATTTGTGAAGAATGAAAACAGAACTCTTCATTCAATTTGTTCACATTTTTTCAATATTGAAACGATCGGTAAAAAGTTTTGTTAATTGATAAATTTTCAGTTTTTCTAAAAAATTGTTCTAGTCAAACTCCTTAAAATTTACTTGTTTTTTTCTCCTACGGACACTACAAGTCTAGCTAAATTTATTAACGAGCTTTGAAAATAGTTATAATTTTGTTCCCTTTAAAAAGCAACATCAATACTTCGTCTTATTTCAACTCTTAAATAATACGCAGTTTTAGCTAGTTATAAAATTACGATAAATCAATTTTGAACAAGTTGGTCTCTTCATATGGAAAACACATGGTTTAAAAATTGAAATTTCTGCCAAGTTGGGATATCTTAGATCCGAGAGGATTATGCCGATTTCGCCGGCTTAACGTCGATTGAAATGAATTGCGTACGAGCGAATTATCTATGCTGGTAGCATCAACGATGAAAACTTGTTTTTAGGTGAGACCCATTTATATTTTTATTTTATACCGTTCGGTTCATTATTTGTCGTTTTTGGGTACCGAACAATATCGGTTGACAGTTGAAATAGTAAACTATCTTGCTTATTATGACAAAAAAAAGTAAAATAAAACAAATATATTTGGCTGTAGAAATTTTAAGAAATTTATAACAATACTATACGCAACAATACAACTAAAGAAATTTTGTACTGTTTTTTTTCTTCTTCTGTCTAAAGGTACCATTTATACCAAACATAGTTGATTTATCGATCTTTCTGCCAGTTGCAGAAGCTGTTCACTAAAGTCGTATTTTAAAAACGATTTTGGACCATTTCGACAACCATTGTACTGAAAAATACCCAATATTGAATGAATATTCATATCCCTGATGTAGTTTTTGAAGGTATTTTTTTATCGAATCGAAATACAGTCGATAATGTCTTACCAAAGATTCAAAATTTCATGTCATGTATCATTCAACGAACTTATTCTACGCAATATTACTGTTTAATGTGAGTTCAACTGTCGTAAAATCGCAAAAATACAAACACTTTTTTAATATTGTGGAATTGTTTGTTGAGGTCTTTGGAATGATCAACAAGTAGAACCATAAAAATTACAATTGTAGAGGCTATGTTAAACGGGATCTAAAACAACCAGGTTTGGATGCCATGGCAATAAACAATAACAACACCTGGCTTAGAATTGGTCGTGCGAGGTTACTTATTTTTGGATCAAAACCAGCGTGTGTCCGACTCGCAGAATCCAACATAATTGAACTGTGTTATTTCTTGGCTCCTTACAGGGAGCAAGTAGGAACGACGCCCAATTTAAGAATAGTGCTCGAGCACCGAATCCTTGGGGTCCCCAATTCCAATTTTTGTAGGTAACAGGGTGTCCTTTTTAAAAAGCCCGACTAAATTTCTCCTAAACCAATGAAGCTATCAAAAAAAAGAAAAGTTTTTAATATTTTTTAGTCTTGTTTCACATTTTTGCCTTTTTTGGAGAAAAATTACACAGGGTTACTCAGGCCCAGATCAACTTCAAAATTTTAAATTCGGCCCTATACATCCTGACATCATTTTAAAGGATTTTAATCATCATTTTTTTATCATGATTTTAATCATTTTAAAGGAAAACAATGGTGCAATCGTATTTTAAATTCGTAAAAAAATGACAAAGTTATGGCAGGAAGTGTGAAAAAAACACTCATTTGATTTATTATTTATTAATAACAATTTCATGTTCGAATTGCCTGCCTTGCGTAAAGATGCAGAGATTTTTAACCACTCTTCATCGGTGCTCATAGCAATAGATTCAGAGATTCAGCGGAGATGTATTGGCAAGCATTTTCCATCCTTTGCCGCAGTTCTTGCTGGGTTATGATTGGCGTAATGTTTTTTAAATAGCCCCACAGAAAATAGTCAAGTAGAGTCAAATCGGGTGCCCGAGGATGCCAACAGCTCGGGCCATGAGGTCATATCCACCTACCGCGAACGATTCATATAACATCTCACCTAGAATTATGTGCATCAAGCTGGAGTCGTCGTTGAAAAGGAACATGTGGTGATAAAACCTCCCTCAAAAATTAAGGAACTGAGCAACATTTAAATTATTTTCGTAGAAATAAGGCCCAATTAATTTATTTCCGGAAGTTCACACCAAACGTTGATGGTGTGAACCACCTGAAGATGACAAGAGCACGAAATTCTCGGATTTTCCTCTGCCCACGTTCGAAAATTCCAACGGTTTAGTACGCCATCGGAGGTGAACTTGGATTCATCAGTCCATAGAATGGCAGGACGTTTTCTTCAGACGTCCGTCATAATCAGAGTCCTGAAGTCCCTGGACGAGATGAGAGCGGTACGGCTTAAAAGTCCGGCGTACATCTCTAATTTTATTTTTTGAAAAAGGCAATTCAACATTTCGGAAAGAGGAATCCGGATTTTCGCGAACACACAAGAAAATATTCTGTCCCTCGTGAAATCACGCTGTCGGTTTTTTTGCCATAACTTTGTCGTTTCATTGTACCATTGTTTTCTTTTTAAAATGGTGTGTCAGGATGTATAGGGGTGTATTTAAAGTTTTGAAGTTGAACTGGGGCCTGAGGTACCCTGCATAATTTTTCTCCAAAAAAAGGTAAAAATTTGCGTCTAGACTAAAAAAATTTTTTTTATAGCGTCATTGGTTCAAATGAAATTCAGCTGGGTCATCTAAAAAGGACACCCTGTATAGTGCAGTATAGTGAGTGTATCTTGCGTGGGTTGAGAGTGATTGTATTTATTGGCGTGAATGTCTAGTGTGAGGGCCAATGGAGAAATATCGAGTACTCCACTACAAATTAGCACTTTTCTAAAATAGTAAATGCTGTGATTATATAAGCTAGATTGCAGTATTCCTGAAAAGTAGGTAGATACTGGGTATTCTTTTGTACAAAAATCGAGAAGTGTTTTATTCTAAGTTGGCATGGGGCTTTGGCTTGATGTCTATCGGGGTTAGATATTAAGTTTCCAATACCGATTCTAAGGCATCTATTTTATACAATATCAAGACTTTTTAACGATATTTTACATGCTTGGGCGTAGAGAGCTACTGCGGTTTATTTAGTCATAAATTGTATAGCAGCTCACCTCAGAGTGGCAGAACGTAGAAAATGACTCGGCAAAACATTAATTAATGCTAAATAATGAACCGTCATATTACATCACACGAAAGATGGAAGATTAAAGTAACAGCCAAATAATATTGACGGTAAATGATTATTCGGAAATCGTGAGATGCGGTCTGGTGTGATGTAGTTTTCAGAAAAACATTTTCTTTATCGTGCCAACGTTGTGATCTTTATTGAGCTCTGAAGATGATCTCAATAAAGATCGAAACGTTGGCGCGATAAAGAAAATGTTTTTGTGAAACCTACGCATCCCACAATCTCCGAATAATCATCGTC